CCCGTGTTTCCCCCTCCGGTCGCCACCATCCCTAAGAACCGGCCGTTGCAATCTCATATAATGCCCAATGCCTGAACCTTTTTGCTAAAAGGGGTCGACAACAGGTATGCCATTGGTGATCCAATCCAGTTGCAATCTCAGATAATGCGGTGATGACCGTTAATAACCGTTGGCGCCTTTAGCGTAAGTGTTCACTCGCCTTTATGTTGCGTTGAATGCTAGACCTTGATAATATGTAACACCTTACCCCTGCTCATTGATTTCATTTCGCGCTCAACTGTCGTATTGATGGATAAAGATGCACCAGAATTGCTAAGATTCACATCTGCACGAGGGGGAACTGCGTGATGCATCACATTTGTCAGGCTTAGTGCGGGCAAGGTCCTCAGAGTCTTATATAAGGAATTTTTCAACGACTAAGTGTGCGAAAGCATTTGGGAATTAATTCGTGGTTTAAGATTCCGTCCTCTACCTTTGCTCGCATAAATTAATGACCCTCTTAGAGCGTCCAATTGTTGGGGTAATGACGCCGTCGAGCGCATCGGTCCGACACCGCACGAAGCAGCACTAAACCCTCCCGGCCGTGTCACGCAGGAGTTGGTCTTAATCCTCGTCACGAATACATATGGACCTTCCACAAGCTACTTCGCCCCGCGCCAACTATACATCTCGCGAGCCCGTACGACAGGATAGACCCTACGCGAGGCGCCACTTACCTCCACCTTACAGAAGCCGTCGCCTCCCTTTGGTGGGCGTATCCCTGCCGAGCTACCAGTCCACAGTACGAAAACTAATCAGTTGAAATCGCAGCGATGGACCTGCCGATGACGTTTCTCGTTCGTTGTAGCATAGGGGGTACGCGCGGTCCCACACCTCTGTCAGACCCGCCACGAACCGGCGCACTGGGGGGGGCTGAAGTCCGAGGCGAGATTCAACGTTGGTCGATTAGGATGTATCCCGCTTACTACGTGTACCCCACACTACGAACATAAAAATAAAACACACACACGCACACACGAAACGACAGAAAACAACATAACAACAACGCGACAACACTCCTAGTCCCTTGAGTAGCCATCCCATAACTTTTCGTCGCGGAAATCGAATAGGGGACACTCACGAGACTTTGTATAAAACCGCGCGTGCACAGGGCTATCTCATATCAACTAGCAATGCATGTGCAAGCAAGCAGTCGCAATGATGGCGTACTATGTAGTGCCCATAATCAAGCGTCCCCTCGTGGATCCGAGTACTGCTCATGACACTTAAGTGTCAATCTCAAAGTATCGTGAGGGTCAACCCCTTCACGATATTGCACGGCTGAAGGAACAGTCGTGCGGCCCCTGCGACACCTCAGGCCTTTAGGCCATGTGTCTCGGTGGGCAGGGCAAGTAGGCTTTGTGCGGGGGGTGATCCATTCCACGCAGAGTCTACGACCTGGGATGTTCTGGACTAGGACCTCGAATCCTGGCCCAGGACCAACGTCCAACTAAGAAATATTTTAAGAAGCACACAGTGTGCACGTTGATGGGCCCGGAGCACTCGAACAAACCTGGAGTTTATTCTAAGTTTCAGAGCAGCCGCTCCAAAAGGCTAGCTCAAAGATAGCCTACACGGGAGAAATTCGAAGTTACTGTCATTTTAAGGGGGTTGGTCACCGTTGGTGTGCTGGGGTAGTTGGGGTTGGGTGGGGTGTGTGTGTAGGGGGGAAGG